TCTATAGTCACACTGTCGGGAACAATGCAACTTTTGTTGAAAATGTGCTTATAAAGAGGTTGTGACTATATAGAGGGCTTTTCCTACAAGTTCAATAGTAATTGGTTCTCAAACATGGTGTGCTTATAAAGAGGTTTTTGTATGATGTGCTATAGAGGGGGTGACTATAAAGAGGGTTGATTGTATTTTTATACCATAATTTAAAGACTGCCACTTCACAAAGCTATAGCTTTATAATGACGATATATATAATTTACCGTTAACTTTTTTCGAAAAGCACAATTAATTAGCTTCAAACCCATACAAAAAACTATTGTTATTCACATAGTACACATGGGCAGGAGAGATTTTTGAAAAAAAGACTTCATATGTTTTACTAGTAAAAAAACATGAAATCCGGTAATTTATGGTAGGGCAGTGTATGTACCTTATGTACCTTTCTATTGTTATAGATTGAATATACGTTGGCATTATAATTAGTTAATTAAATTATCTTTCCAGCGCAATTGTGCGGATTAATGAACTACCCAGTTAAAATCTTTGTATTAGTATCACTGTGCACATTTCGATTTCCGAAACGAGAACCTTGCGTGACGATACCAGCGATAGCGATTATGACGATACCAGTGGCGAAGATGATAGTACTGATAGTAGTACTGGCTGACCGGCTAAATCAGGAATCGCTTGGAACTATTGTTCACGCTTTTAACGAAGTTATTCTTAACCCTATGTTGTTCGGACTTAAAAAACAACTGAATGTCAGCGTGACTGCTTTTCGCCTTGGTCTTCAGTGGTAACTTCGATTACATTGACATTCAGGATTGAGCGATCTGTATTTAGCAACTTGGAATAATCGCACTATTAATAATTGGATATATTAATATATAAGCTTGTTCTATGTTTAAACTGTAATGCGGTATGATTCTTCGTAATCTCGCCGATACGCCATCAATCATATGATCGACACTTTGTAATCTCGCATACAGTTCAGAACTGGATATAACGATGACTGTACATAACGATATTTGGATATTACCCCTTCTTTGCAAAAGCAACTTTATTTTGATAGAGAAATACTAGTTAAGTGGTGAAGAAATGCTGAAGGATGGTTGAACGTTGGATATCATGCTAATTGAAGACATTTTTTGACAATCATAAAATTAAGACAGGACTTAAGGTGTGTCTTTACAAACACAAAAGGTAGCACAATGAAGGAGCTTAAGTGTTATCTGAAGTTCAAGAATTTGGCTTCGACCCCACATCATCCTCATTGGAAAGCGCGATTACGGAATACTCTTTTTAGATTGTTATGGTCGCGTGTTCGTCTTGAACGACATGAGTGGTGTGTTGTGGCCGTGCGGAAATTCTTTGGACGAGGAACCTGGACTGGAAAGAAAGCATGGGTCGTAGATGACGATGGGACTATTGTTCAAATCGAGTATTGTACGTGTGCAGATTTTGCTCATTTTTTTACCAGAATTGTGTATAACTATACTATCTTCTAGATACCGATGCTGAATTTAGTACACATTCGGGCGGAATTCCAGAAACACCTAGAAGCCCAAAAATACCACAAAACCCAGAAAGCTCAAAAAGGCAAAAGAAAAAAAAGGAACAAACAATACGTTTAAATGTTTCCCCTTCAGACTCTAGCTGTCATCTCAAAAAATAATTCTTTTCTACGCGTGTCTAGTTAGTAGCTGATCACGTTCAATCTTTCAGTAATTCCGTCTTTGCGTAATTCTTAAATTCAGTAATTCAGTAATTCTATCAGTCTTCCTCCTCTCAAGAAATCCTTACATTCTTGCTTGCATCTTTCTTTGAAGGTCAGATTTTCTGAAACAGAAAACAATATTAGCGTGTTGCAAGATTTATAAAGTAATTGTATTCTAAGCCGAGTTTCGCCAATTTGTGATATTTGTATATGTATCAGCGCTCCCGCTGACGTGGTAATATATTTGTATTGCTTGAGTAATTATTCTTTCCACGAACTTTACTCGTTGATACTGAATCTGAGGCTGGATGTAGATATGCTCCAGATAATTGCTCATCTTATATCTTTCAATTTCGAGTTCTGTGAGCAATTTGCTTGCGTTCAATTTATATCGAATCCATTTCTCTGAATGTATTATGATATTCTGTACGGTTGTTTTTCCTAGTTCCGAGTTAGATAATTGAGGGTTTTTAGCTTTTCGCTGACATATCTCTTGCTTCTGTTTGGCACTCAACGTAACATAATGTTTTTTTTCGATCGAGGCATTTTGAGAAAAAAATAATTATATTAATGTCGGTCGGATAATCGAAATTTTTACCACAAAAACAATGCAACCGGTCGAATAATCGGCAGAATTCAATCAATTAACCCTTAAATGGAAATGATTTGACTGTGGTCGAATTAACGGACGTAATTATAGTATTATTTATATGCACAGGCTTAATAGAGATTATTTAAGCGATCGAATCAACAAATTATCGAAATTTACAAGTTCAGCCGAATAAAAGGAAGAAAAATCATATGAAAAAATCGGGTCTTACTCAAGACGATCGAATTACCGGGAAAGTCGAATTATCGTGGGGTCGAATTATCGGCAGTTGACTGTAGGCCTGTCAGGGGAGATACCATGAAGAAACGACCAACAGGATCACTACCTTGAACTGCTGATCCAAAGATCATTCGTTGTTTTTCGGCAGTAACGGTTGAATAGTTAGTATTGAGCCAGTATATTGCCTGCCCAAGTCGGATCCCATCTGCTACCACAGAATTGGCATTTGGTAGATTACTATACGATCAGTTGGACGACCATCGGCAAAAGACCAATCTTCATCAAATATCGTGTGAGCTGGAATAAGAACATTTCCGGCTTAACCTACAGCACTATGTCTTGCATTTGCACCGCCGTTCGTCCTTGGACAAGAGCTGTCCGGTGTTATCAAGTAAATTTCTCAATTCCCAGTTCTTTCTTCGAAGAGATCTTTCATACCAATCCTTAGCATCACCCTTAAGACATGTCATGTGCTCGAACTCTATCAGCATGTCCGGCATTCACATCAATTCGGAGATTATTCTTGAAGCGCAAATATTTGTTGGGTTTTATTTTTCCACTTTTCATAACTTGGAACAACACTACCATACCAAAATTGTAAGGAAACCTTATCATGATGACATCTCCGCAACTCCTGTTCTAGCCGGTGAATAGATATTTTATAACGAATTTCAAGGGTACGTCGTTTTAGTTTATATTGCTCTTCCCACACTAGCAATTCTCTACCATGTCTTTGACACCTCTGATTTTTAGAATTAAGTGCAAGCTCAAGTAATAAAGCATTAATACGCTTTTGCATTCCACTTTCCAATTTTTGAGCAATCCCCCACCAGCGACGACGTTCCTCCTGTTCATTATTATAAGCGTAGTCATCAAAGTAAGGTCATTCTGAGAATTATCCCGTTCTAGTGTAAGCTGATTAACTTGATCTTGCAAAGTGACATTTTGCTGTCTATAGCCATTAATATCTTTCTGTAATTGTACTATTTGAGCATCTCGATCATCTCGTTGATTCGTAATATCATCTAAATCCTTCTTGATAATTAGCCCGAATAGTATTTAAATACATTATTGGCCGGATTGTTTAATGGTGTACCATGTCCTCTGAAATGGATTTCAAGTCGATTTAGTCCTCTTGTGATATTTATAAAGGGACATATCTGTATATAAAGGGTCTGGTGAGTTATCTCGATTGGGTGAATTCTTACTGGAGGAAATAACTTTGATTCGGTCTTTCAGATTTTGAATTTGCTCCTCCGATTCCTGTAGCTGCCTCTCTATATTAGCAATGTGAGAATCTTTAGCCCGAATTTCTTTTTTATTATAGGAGAGCTGTTTATTGAGGTTAGATATTTCTGATCGCAACTCTGTCTTTTCTTCCCCCGAAGCATTCTCGAGCCGTTCTAATTCTTTATTGAGAGATTGAATTTCTTTCTCACATCTGGTATATTTACGCTCTAGTTCGTGAATGTATTTTTCATTAGATTTGTTGATGAATATTTCTGATTGCAGTACATCCTGAAGTTCTTTATTAACTCGTTTCAACTCAGATTCTCGCTCAGAGGCTGGCCCACGAGATATTTGATTAGGATGTGGTCTTTGAAATGCCATTTTATGTAAAGCGGGCAAAAATAAAGAGATATGATTACCTCTCACCCAAATCGTTAAAAATCATGTGATAAAATTTCATTAATTTGGCTACTTGCTATTTTTGTGATATAATGTACAAGATCATGAGCCAACCTATTATTACAATCAGCAGTGGCCTTAGTTTGTCGATTATACACCTCTTATCTCTTTCTTATTCTGCAATACTATTCTCTATTACTATGTATATTCGTCAACCAATTCCGCTAATACAGTCCTTCTTAAACCTGTTTTTAAACCATCGATCTTTAATTTTCGATTACAGTATGTAACAAAAAAAAGATAATTTTTAACAAATTATAAAGACGTGTAAAATGCCAAGTTTGTAAATAGTGCTTGTATTATTTCCGGATGAAATGCCATCATCGATTCAAGAAAGACAACACCAAGTCATATTACATTTTTGGGCACAGAGCATAACCAATGCGACGAAATACAAAAATTAACTAATATTCCCATCGCCATTATTTACAGAAAAAAGGGGGAATGGATGTCCTCGAAAGCAATACGGGCAATATCTGGGCACGTATTACATGTAAACAGCGTCGTTCTTGGTGTTTTAGAGAGGAATATATGGTGATATAATAAGCATGTTTAATACTTTACAAGTATTTAGTGTAACAACCCGATCATAGTGCCTATAATTCGACCGCTTGCGTTCCGAGATTATCGAATTAACGTACAAAATGGTGGGATAGGGATAGTGGTACACTACTAAATGACACAGATATATCACATGACGACTGATCTATGAAAATGGGTAGTTGGTGATTCTCGATATAGAGGTCAAACCCAGTTGGCCGACTTATCGAGACTGTGTAACTTGTCCCAGACCGCCAGAAATTAGATAAAGTCTACTCGTTGATTATTGGTCGTTTATATTTGGGGGATTAAAAAATTGGGGAAGACGATTTTTTGACGATCACCTGTTTTTGCGAATGTCGACTAATACTATGAAAAGAATAAAAGTTCCTCGCGATAGCTAATACTATGAAAATAGTCTTCTCTTAGCTACTCCAATCTCTTAATTAATTTATCAAACCCCATGATAATTATCAATGGTTTGGAATAAATACAATTTACTTTCAAGCTTTAACATACAATTTTCTGTTGCACATCGAGCAATGAGCAAATGAAGAATTATCTTTTTTTTTTGTTATACGTTGTATGTCTTGTACTAATTCATTTTCACTTTTAATCTCATTTAGATCATAATATAATTAAAAATTTGGTTTGCACAATAGCATATTTAATAATATATCCTCAACCGAACGCGTGTAAGGAGACCATGAATTGTTCTTTGAATGCGACTTTCCATTTTGGCAAAATTTCCACCCAATCAAACTACATACCTAAGCCACTTATACACAAATACGGACTCTCTTGTGAGCGTCTGGCCAGTCCTCATCAAAATGCAAACAGGTCAGCCTACTTCTACGGCACAGACAGGCAGGCGACCGTCACAGACAAGTCTTAGGCAGCCACCTTTGTTACAACAATCACAGCCAACGAGCCCAAATAAATCAAGTGGTATTTTATCTGGACAAAGCTCTATCTCAAATTCTCAATTTCATACGAGAGCAGTTTTTATGCCGGCCCATACTGCTATACCCGGTCGAGCCTCTTTGATCACGCCTGTTCAACAAGCAAGAACTCAAACGACTTCCCCTAATCATAGCGTCCCGCAGGCTCTCCCACACGCTCAAATGCCAACACATAGTCCACTAACACCACATAATGCAGTACCACAGCCGAATACTCCGCAGAATGCTGGGTCGTCGGTCTCGCATTCTTCAGCTCCACAACAAAACTCCTCCGTACCGATGCAACCAAGTAGCTTACAACTTTCTTCGACACACCAAAATGCAACTCACCAAATGACCTCCTTATCGGCATCGCCAGCAGGAACAGCAAACTCTCAACAGGGAGTCTCTCAGCCTGTGTCACATGGCATGCAACATTCGATAACTTCACAGCCAACCCTACAGTCACAATCATCTCAATCTATGCAATTAGCGCAATCGCAAAACTCTGCAGGGCAAAACATCCCGTCAACACTGCAATCAAATCAATCACCTTCACTGCCATCATCATCAACAGCAGCGATAATATCAACAACTACGGCAATGACGACTCAAATGCCATCAGCAACGCCACCATTACCAACGCCCTCGCACACACCCATACAAGCACCATTGCCTCCGCCAACACAACGGCCACCACCAACGGTTTCCCCTCATTCGTCATCACAAACCGCTACAATGAATCGCAATTTACCAGCACGTGCATTAACATCCCAATCGTCTGCAGCAGCGGTTGCAGCCGCACAAGCCTTAGTCGGTGCATCGCAACTAATGGTAAACGATAGATATGCTCACGTTAAACAAGAAAGTGGGGATTACAGTTTTATAGGCTATTCCCAATACATAGATACTGAAACAATTGATGCTTCATCGGACGTTGGTGTTGGTACGAGCGCTATGGGTGCCGCTGATAGGTTAGTAGACTTTTAGGACATCGTGAGCAGCGGTCTAAGAAAGTTTGTCTTAAGAACTTACGCATCTAACATTCTAGTCAATATGGCCGATTTGTCAGATTACAGGCAACAGATCATCATCATACGTCAGGTATTTCTTCGAACTTGAAGCTTGATTTTTATCTATTTGTATTAATGTTAACTGTCTTATTCTGCAGTTACGATAGAATATCCTTCCCTCCGTCTTGATAATAGTGAAGATGAAAACAGTTCTCAAACTGAGATTGGATTGATGCCTCATAATCGCGGTAATAAACTGAAGCGACATGCCAAAAGATTAAACACAGTTCGCAGTAAACTACGCGCACCATATGGTTATCACGATGATTTGGAGTACATACCTGTTCCAAGTGGGCGACGTCGTCCAATAATATATAAAATACCTCGAAATTTGGATCGGATGTTAGAATACAGTGGGGATGAGGATGACAGTCCTTATAAAGATATCAAAATAGATGGTAAGAATCATCGAATACACACGTGCATCACGTGCTAAATTGAAAGGTTAAACCCAATAATCAGAGTAATAAATATATTTATCTATTAATAGTTGGATAGTTTCATTTAATCATTTATTCCTCCAATCCATTTACTTTTCCCGTCAAACTTCGAGTAGAAATACTCGCGCCAATTGAAAGACCTGAAGACGTTCTTAGACGACCGGCTCTAAAACGAGTATTCAAGGATCAGAAACTGGACAAATTAGCCCAATCGTTCATGCAGATGATTGAAGAAGAAAAGAATCGTAACAAAGTGCTGACGAGATTGATGGCCGCCTTGCAGGGTGATGATATAATGTATCAGCATCTAAACTTTAGAGTGAACCCACACACACAGAAACACATGACACGAGAATACATAGCAGAACAAAGCGAAGGCGGCAGTGGATTTGGTGTATCCAATATTGGTTTGCAGCTTGGTGATAATAAGGGTAAAAGAGTTGTTGAATCAAGAGACGAAGGATTAGAAACATTGCGAAATGTCCGCGAGAAATTGCTGGTGAGAATATTGATCAGTTTATTTTGAACATTATTATTTCTACGTTCTGACAAATTTTTACATTCTCCAAAGGATCAACTGAAATATAGCAATGAATATTTACGTAATATAATGCTTACAAGAGATGGTTTGATTCATACTCATAGACAGAAAAATCTTCTTTACAATAGGATAAAGGAGCGTGTAGAGGCAAAGAGACGTGATGCATTACAAGCGCATGGTAGCCATAATATTTCTCACTCTACTTCTCGTAAGACAGGTAGAGAGAGAGGCAAAGACAGAGGACATAGGGATAGGGATAGGGATAGGGACAGAGACAGGGACAGGGACAGAGACAGGGACAGAGACAGGGACAGGGACAGAGACAGGGACAGGGACAGGGACAGAGACAGAGACAGAGACAGAGATAGAGACAGAGACAGAGATAGAGATAGAGATAGAGACAGAGACGTTTGATATGGTGATTTTTTAGAAACCTAATGTAATTGTCTTTAGGTGTTTGAGGGAGTTACTTATTCTTTACGGGGAATTGATTTGAGCTCGGACAATCACAATAACTGCGTTCGACCTTTAGTCGAATAAATTTTTTCTGGAATTAGTGGTAAATTGAGAAAGATACATTTAAGCATGCAGAATAAACTCACGAAAGTGTATAACCATGGGAGACTAAATCAGGAGCCACCCAAGATGTTGTCTCTCATAACATGCAATGACTCAACAAAAGATATTTTGATGCAAGTACTCTATGTAAAGGAAGTCACTTTATTCTTCATCATCGGGAAAAGGCGGAAGTCCATACTTTCTCGGATCGAAATGTTCCAAAGACGTCAGGGTTTCAGTTGCTCCAAAGTAATCTTTGTGTATTGCAGCCAACGCAGGATGAGGAACCCAAATGACCTAAAAGAAACATCGGTCTAAGACTACGTTTTAATCTTAGACATAATTGCATTTTTTGTAGACTTACATTCATCTCGGCGTTTTTGGCTGCCTCTACTCCATTGATAGCGTCCTCAAAGACCAAACAATTATTAGCAGGCGGAGACCCTAGTCTTTCACGTGCAACATGAAAAATGTCTGGTGCAGGTTTCCCACGAGTAATTTTGGGATCATCCCCGCACACTATGTTATTATCGAAGAGCGAGAAGAGGGCATGGTTGTTTTTTGCTTTCAAAAGGAAGGTGGCACGACAAGAACTTGTTGCAACCTGGGTTTAAAGAAGATTACACGTTCAATGCTGCATATTAATTGAACCTTGTAAGAAATATACACGCGCTTACTATTATTGGAATGTTTGTATCCTTAAGATGCTTTATGAGACTCTATGATCGACAATCTATATTAATTTCTGTAAGGGAAAGGACTCGTTTGTACACAGTACAAGACATGCTAGCGTACCAGAACTCCGGGTAGTGGTTTTGCAAAAGCAAACAGAGATTCCTATTCGCAAGGTTTACAAACAATACTATTCATCATAAAACACAGTTCAAGAAACCATTATTACGCGCTAATTTACCTGCTTCACAGTTCTCTCGCTCAGGTATTCGTCGGCAGTCATCGATATGCCTGTTTCTCTAATTAATATTTCCGCAGCCTTTATACAAATAAAGAATAAATACCGTACAACATGACTACGGAACGACCCAAAGTTTTAAAACTAACTTCGCGATCTCGACATCCCATTAAGCGGGACTTCAATTCCCACCCGTAGGTTTTGCCGTATCTTGCGAGAATTTCCGCTACAGTACATAGTTGTCCGTGAATAAACGAATAAACCTTCATACAATCCTCGGCTAAAGATAAGTAACGTACATGTAACTTCCGTGTAAATGCGTTCGGTGTCCTGATGATGAAGGCATTTTGTGGTTATGTACCAGATACAAACGGAAATATTTATTACGACACTAACACTGTACCAATAAAAGACCTGAGCAAAACGAGGCGAAATAGTAGTTAGTGCGGTGATGCAGTGACAGCATCGTCCTGTTAAGTATCATTAAAAAGGGAACGAACCATCCATATCAAATATGCAATGAGTTATTCGTATCATTGCAAAAGTTGAGAAAGGAAGTATAATTAATTATTCGCATAATTTTGATTTGATAACGTTGTGGTACATGACTTAAATGTGAACAATTATTTCGTGATTCTTCGAGAGAGGTGGCAAAAGCCTAACCGGTTCGATTCAAGTCACAATCGCATGAATGCCTTCAACAAAAAAGATTTTGCTGCCTGCACCATTGGGTATCTTCTTGATTTCGCTTGCTCTATTCACATTTAAAGGAGAGAATTATCAGGATGAAATGCTTATATCTACGTTCAGGGATTCATCATGATTATCAGTAAGAACAATACTTGTCTTTCAAGAAGATTCTCTGATACTCTCTTTGCCATCAGGCCTTTTCCACTGCCACATTAATATAATTATTGATTTAACCATATATTTAACTTTATTAATTCATTATTGTTGTATTGGTTTTGAGCAGGTTGCATCTTGAATGAATATAATTGTGGAAATATTTGTTGAGCGATTGGATAAACTTGACACAAAATTTCAAGCCAATCCAGCTTGAATTGTCAACTAATTGGTAATTCTCATTACTTTTGCACTGCACTGTATATTCACTTACGCAAGGATGACACCAACTCTGAGCCGACTGTCTCGTTCTTGATAATTTATTTCACACCCACATCACAAGAAAAGACTTTATCGTGCATTGTCCATTACGGACTGAGGTATTGCTCACGAAACCAAGGCTGTCACCACAAGGCTCGCTCGGCGTGGTACCATGAGAGTGAATTTACCTTCAAAATTTGTGGACTTTGGAAGAAAGATTTGTGTGGTACAATTACATATGTATTATTTCAGAAAAGAAGAATGCCAACATGGAGCTAATGGACGTTTTTTTAGTAGGTTGCTGAGTAAGAGGTGTGAAAAAAGATGTCTAAGTGGGTTAATCAAATCAAAAAGTCTTTAGATGCTGGAACTGTAAGTGGTTAGTAGATAGAGATGTTATTGATGCCCGGGGTTTTTTGAGTGTGAAATTACTTAAGTAGAGATCGCTTACACTCCCATCCAATCAATACAAGTAGCACAATGTGCAGACAGACAATGCAGACAATGCATCGGAAAAGCATGAAATATGTGAAATGTTTCTTCTTGTTCATAGGAAATATAATAGAGGCTTAGTTGTAATGAACAGTATAAAAATGGTGAATGCATTACAATCAAAATGGCAGCAGTAAAGTTGACTAACTACTGTCATGAGTGAGGAATGAAGGCAAAGAGCAAGAGAGTGAATCGTTTGTAAATAATATAATGAGTTTGCGACAAGGATGTGATAACAAAGGAGAGGATGCAGGGCGACCACATCAGAATTTAAAAAGGGTCTTTTCGGCAGCATGCCTTGGAAAAGAGTATGTACAAACGGAACGAAAAAGAACATTGATAGTATGTGGTCTTTGATTGCTCTATGTCGATGATAAGAAATATACGGAGCTTGTTTTAAGAAATTAATTAGTGATTAGCCCATTTAGAGTCTACCTATAAGTCCAATGTCCATTACTAGCAGGATTAATTAGTATGCAGCGATTAGAACTAGTGTGGCAGAACCAATCATTGACGGATATTGTAAGCGTGCACTACATAGCCCTTAAATTGTCTTCTCTCGGAGCCTTTCCCTTTTCCGCACTCTTTAATTTCGGGTAAGAGATACTTGAGTCCCTTTTTCGTATCTACAGGCGGACCGATGTTAATTCTGGGAGACATCTGTGACTTCAGACGTTCTTCAATAGTCTTTTCTAATGATTGTTCAACTTCGGTGGAGAAAGGTGTGCCTTTCATTGGAGGGAGCGATTCCTGAATAGATAAAGTAAATAACGAATCAGTCTGTGTAAGTATCACAAAATCAAAACATGAAGAAAAGCTTGTAACAATTCAAATATTATTTTGTAAGACTTGGCCCAAAGCCAAGTACTTACTTTAGTTTTGGTCTTTGCTGCATTATTACGGCTGCGTCCAGGCGAAATTTCGAGATTCTCAATGTCAGATTCAAGCCTGTTTTCACTCAAAGAGTGTATAGTGTCTTGGGCTTCTTCTAATAAGTGGGCATATTCCTGTGCAGAAACCATCATTTCGCTCAATTTGCCTTCGCATTGGAATTGTCGCGTTTCCAATTCATTAATGCTGGCTCGTAAATGCTCATTCTCCAATACAACCTAAGAAAAGAAGTTATTTGTTGTAAGACTCTTGCGTCATACAATCTACGAAATACAGATTAATCAATAAAAAAATTACCCTTCCAAGGTCAGCTTGTATCATTTTGACAATTTGAGTGGTTGTCGCGCTAGAGATCTTCTGTGAACTGAGGGCCTTTTCTAGCTGAATGGAGAGATTGACATTCATCTCCTGAGTGTCGGCTAGATGTTGTTCAACGTCAGCTAAAGGTGATACAGTAGTACAGATTAGAAAGTGTGTTGGCTTAGCAGTATCAAGTTATAGAAATCGTTAGGTGAATAGCATACCCAACTTCTTAGCGTAAGTGTTAACTTTATTGCGCGACTCCAACATATCGTCTGTCATATCATTCATTTGTCCTGAGAGATTATCAAGCTCCTTTCGGAATTTCTTCAACTCTCTCCTGGCAATGTCTAGTTCTTTCTGCAGAAAAATCTTGTGTTCTTTAAGAACTTTGATTTGTTCTTCGCTGACTGAGAGTTGCGCCGCAAGCTCGTTACTTCGTGATGCTTTCGAATACAATAGTCGGTTCTCTTCTTCAAGCGCATTGAGCTGTTAAGAAAATACAAATTATTTCAAATAATATGCGAAACATTTAATAGGTTGCTAAAATAACAATGACGGATTTCTGGTTTTATGAAACGATTCATTGCGTCATCAATGATAAACGACAAAATCAATATGGACAAACGGTTCACCTTCATATAGGCTTGCGCCTCTCCTTGTGTCGCCAAGTTGAGTTTCAATTGTAGCTCTTCGTTCTTTTCAGATACGACAAGACCGAGACGTGCTGCAATATCTAAATTAGTAACTATAGTCTCTTTTTCTTGTTCTTTTTCGATCAGCATACGTCTCAAAATATCTTTGTCATCTATTGAGTTGACCTAAGAAATTCATTGTATGTGAATACTTAAACGGAGGCGACCGTAGTTGAGAGGGTGAGATAAGTAAATGACGAATGCAATACCTCTTCGAGGAAAGCTTGTCGCTCGACGGCTGACATGTTGAGAATATAGTTATGGAAGTGGTGTGACGGTAGGTGAGCGTGGGTAAGTGAGGAGTTAGAGTGTGTAAAAAGGGGAGTCAAGGAGTGATGAACAGTAGTTGCAGATAGGGAGCCAGGTAGTAGAATAGTAGTAATACTTGAAAGAATATTTGACTTTATCTACCTGGAGACATGGCATGCAATTGGCCAAGACAGGGTTCAAAGTCGTGAGGGTGTAAGATGAGAGTGGTATCGTTGCCCTGCAACGCAGAATAAACAAGTGTGTGGCGCACACAGGTTGGTTACTCAAGTATTTATGAGTTTCAGACGCAGTTATGGAGGATGGGACGGTTCAGATAGGTTTTAAAAGCTTATTTTGGCATGACAATAGCCAAGAAAAGAAAGAGTCCCCTGGTTTGAGTTATTATTATATTTGACAAAACCGCACTGGTACCGTTTCTCCAGACAAAGGATAGAATAGTCACCAAGCTAAAATCACCCAGCATATTAATATGGCTCATAGTTTATTGACTTGTGATATGATTAAGAAACATTCTTCGCAACAAGTTGCGATGGAACTTAAGAACGAGTGCGGTTGATTTGTTTACCTTGGTTGAGGTGTTAATCTCTGTTTGGAGGAGATTAAAGGGGTTTACGAATGACAGAGATCCAGATGTACGAATCATCAAGAATGGAAGGATTTGTATGGTGCACAACCAAAGCCTGTGCTACTACTACTTATACTGGCTAATACTAAATATCAATCAATCTTAGGGATATTGTGAAACGATTTGACTTGGGGATTAACTACTATAACTTTAATATTAATGTAGCAGTTGCTACTTGCCAACAGTAGAAACAAGTGGATGAACAATCAAATAATACTAATACTTATACGAGTTCTTTCGGATCATCGATGAGAGAAGTAGAATGTTGAGAAATACAACAAACGAGATGAAGTGAACACAAGCGCCACCCAAAAGATGCACAACAGCAATGATTATGATGGCTGAATTTACAATGGCACTAATAGTCTGTAAATAAGGCATCATTTAATTAATTACATCAGTAGCACAATTAGAAGTATTCGGCAAAAATATTGCTTCTTCTGCACACAACTGATATTAAGAGTATCAGAGAATTACTAGCTGAAAGAGAAACTATGTATTAGGTTTATTAAGAAGTAAAGGTTAATGTCACCAAGTTTCTGCTCAACAGACTAACAGATTTAAAAATAATCCTAATACTAAACTAGATAAAAGTCGGATGGTATTCTGGGGTGAGACCAAATTAAAATGAGAGATAGTAATAGGTGAAAAGAGTCTAATTGATGAGGGTAGAATAATGATTAGATTTGACAAGTTTATTTATGGTGAAATCTGTTTTGAATGGAGCATGCAAGCATTCAGGAAAGGCACAATAATAATAGTATTTGTCTCTCCAAGGCTAATAATAATAATTTTTTGGCACACATTGGGGACATCTGCTAAAATAAACTTCAATGCTGTATTATAGTATTATTATTATTTATTATTTGTGTAAAAGTAAAACCGCCCAATGAAAACTCTGCACTACTGCGGATTGTCAAACACTCACATGCCGAAGAATTGTCGAAGTGCATGATATATTGTCGTTATATGAAGATAATTTATTGTCTAGTTAGAATATTGGGTTATAGTTGTTCGTTTCATTTGATTGGAAATATCCGGATATTAATGACAACTATCAATCAAATTTTTCAAGACTGTTCACCAGTTTTATCTGTTCGCTTGTGCCTTCAAAATAACCGTACCTTTTAACGCATTTCTGGTATTGAAAATAATTAGTTACATACCTCCGTGCTATCATTCATTTACAGTCTCTCAGAATTTCTTTTTAAAGTCCGCGATTTCTCTAATAAATTGGATACCATACAAACATCCTCGCCGGAATAAACTGTAACTCATTAGCTTGCATTGGGCGTGAGGGGTGAAGCTTATTAATTATTTTACTTAAGCCATAAAGCGTTGTGTTGAATCATCCATAATGCCACTGTTAGTAGGTACTGTACTTAGCAACGACAAAGATGGATTTTTTACAGTGCTAAAAATCTGCATGTGAGATGTGCACTTAAGGGGGTTCATTGCATATATAGCAATCACATTGCAAGTAGAATTTAGTTGGATATCGCATGACCATCGTTCGCGTTAGTTTAATAATAATATTAATATTGGAATAGAAAATTTTTTGTGGAATGTAATCAACCGGCCGTGGTATCTCCAATATATTTACTAGGACGCGTTAAAAAGTTATGCCATATGAATGTCACTGACAAGTGAATTGTAAGATACATAGTAAACCCCGTCATGCTGAACCCCGTTAATCCGAATTCAGCATTGAAGTGCGCTTAGCATTTTTGACGCGTCAAGGAGTTTGGAACAAACTGCTGAATGTTCTGAAGGCCCCCAGAAACGCCAACAACCGAAATTTAAAGCGAGCGCTTCTAAAAGGAGAAAACACAAAGAATGGAGATATGCAAGGCAAAGGCGGACAATCCAAAGAATGTCGAGCTGGCATCTCGATATAATGCTGGCAAATCGACAATTTCTGAAATTCTGAAGAAAAAGGAACATTATTTATCAATACAACCGAACGACTATAGGCGGGAAAGACCATCAAAGTTTCCAACCATCGACTTCACGCTACGAACCGAAGACAAGCTGGATGATGAGGCAATAATTGCTTTGATTCAAGGAGAAAAGCGATTGAAGGAGATTTAGATTCAGAAACAGCCGCCAAATCTGTAATAACTTCGGCTGAAGCTGTGAAATTAATCGATAAGCCGACAAACTTTTTGACAAGTGAAGAACGAAATGTGCAGGTATGCGAAAATTTTCTCGGCGAATTAAAAATGTCAAAAGGACATTGTGTAAGTCGATTATAGATGCCAAAGTCCAAACGGATATCACAAGTTTTTTGCAACCGATTGTTTAATACCAAGGAGTTTATTTTATAAATATTTTACACAATAAAACTCGTTTGTTTGCTAAAACCAGCGCACTTTACACAATAAAAAACGTTTCTTTTACATGAATGCGCATTTGAAAGTAAAAATTATCGATATTTGTCCATTAATCCCGAAGAACCCGCTAAGCCGCTCTATGGACGACTTCGGCATAATGGGGTTCACTGTGTATTAACCTAAGTAATTGGGGAAAATGTCCTCCACCTCAGACCTGAAAAGTCGTCTCGAGGGCATTATCTCCCAATTCAAAGGCATGCCTGTCTATGAATTGGCTACAAGTGCATCTTCTGCCATTGCATTGTGATTAGTTGACTGATCAAAACAAAAAACTCCAATACAGCCAGGACGAAGTATCTCAAAGATAGGGATTGCTCTATTCATTAACTTTAATCATTTGATTAATATATTAAACAAAGACTACAGAACAAAACACAGGTAATTGAAATTTAGTTTTATAATACTGTATATGCAGTGTTTTCAACTTGCAATTACTTACATGCTTTGCAAGATTAATTACCATTACTTACCTGTTCAATCATGTGTTCTGATTTCCAATAACCATCTGCTTGAATTGATCGTAAAACACGCACTTCTTTGAACTTAACATGTGGATTAGCTTTCAATTGTTCATCAGTCAATTGCAAAGAACCATGACAAGCACAAAGAAAGCCAGACACCATTATAGAAAGACCTTGGTAGAATATTTTCTCTATCTTGTATCCATAACTTTCTTTGTCCTTCATTGGCATAAAAATGGCTTTCATCATGTGTAACTATAACATGTTCTTTTTCACAAGGCTGAAGTTGTGGCTCAACATAATCTTTCATAAGCCGTTTATAATTAAACATTCTATTTAACCATTCTTTCCTATACTGAGCAACGTCTGCGCGTTCATGTCCATCATAAAATACATCCTTTCTTTTTCATTATATTCGTATCCTCATATATGCATATATTTTCGACAAGTGTCTTTTGAGATTGTATCCTTTTTTATGTATCCAGTCATCTTAGGAAAGACCATTTCTTCAATATAAATTTTTAATTCTTTAGGAAGACGAGATTCTGGCTTTTGCTGCCGTAACCATTTTTGACATTGATTAATAAAATCTTCGCTGTCAAGCAAACGTTCGATTTTTGTATGTCGATCGACAGGAAGCTCACCATTAAGTAAAAAATACTTCCCCCAAGTTCTAATACAACGTGACAATTTAAACTTAAAAGTCGTATATATTCATAACTGTCATACGACTTGTTTGATTTACAGTAGATCTTCTAAACATGCTTGCAAATCAAGGAAGAAAAATGGGCGGTTTATTCGTTACACTGCATTGAGAAAATACGTGTTAAAATTCCGGTGATCACCGGAATAGTAATAGTATAAAAGTGATAAAACACGCGACAATTAATCTCTTGAAGAAACGTTATGACTGAGTACTTTAAAGATACAGATGTTAAGGCTTGGGATGTTGTCGGGTTTTACCGATGCTGGATACACAGCTACAAAGAGAACACCAGCATGCTTGATTACCAGAAGGCTAAAGACAAACTTATTAAGTGTCTTGAAAATATTGCTACTTTATCTCCTACCGGCAACGAGGTCAGAAAAGCCCAAGATCTTCTAAAAAAAGCAAGGCGAGTATTTCTTTGCTTTACATGATGTCGCGATAAGATAAAGATCCCCCCTTGGGCCGTGGCCACAGCAACCGCGTTGTTAGTTGTGGTTTAGCTTTCTCCATGACAAGGACGTGCATTTGTTTGTTGCACCTCTGATGATCTGTTTGTTCATTGTGGTCTGCCAATTTTATTGGTAGAGTGGGGTTCCTTAATTGTGCATTAGCCACCCATGACTATGGGGACTGCATGTTAATCCTTCTTATATTCTGCCTTCAGGTAGGTCGTCAGGCTTATTGCTGCACAACTGAATTTACACCACACGTCTCCTAATCACTTCACCAAAATGTTTTAATTTGAAACTTAAGTTTTTGTTTATAGCAAACCGAGAGAGACTGAGTTGGAAAAGGCGAAGCTGAAACGTATTCAGGTAGATCCAAAAACATGAAATTATTATTATTGTAGTAGTAGCATGTGTGAACCCTCTACTTCCGTATAATTTATTATTTAAACTTTCTTCAATGCAAAAAAAAAAAAAAAAAAAAAGTGGAATGGTACTGCAGCAAAAGAAAATCAAGACTATGCAAGTACTATGAATAGAGGAGTTTTATCAAACTTGGAAGCAGAGTTTGCTGAGAGCGCTTTTTGAGGTTTGTAATTGATTGCTGTTTTAGTTTTAATGGTTGTTATATATGCTTTTTTTGAGACCCCAAATAAGTGGAGGTGGATCTAATCATCTTAGTATTATAATCCATTATATATATAATACGGCTGCACTGTTAAATTAGGTTTCATTGGATCCGGAACTGCTCCTTGTAGAGACTGAAAAGGAATATGTTGGAAGTAGTGAGCATCCGTTTGACTACAACGAATGGACTCTAAAGTCTGGCCTGAAAGTAATCGATCTTTTAAAAATAGCGGCCGGTATTTGATGAGGTTAGTTACGGCTGATATTGCCAGTTTATGTTCGCAACACTAATTTTTCAAACCATGTTAGACCAGAGGTATGGAGTATCGTCCGTTGTGGACTAAAAGTCGCAAAACCCAAATGGTGCGAAGAACATGGATATGCTGAAATACAGAAAACTATTAAACGACGTAGCATTATCAATCCTCCGGAGTTTGTTGCAAAAATTCTTCATATCTTCATACGATTTATTCAGTTTCTCAAGCTTCTATCAAATGTGCGGATTTAGGAAAGGAACTAAACAAGATTAAAATAAAGGAGTTGATGAAGCTGAATGATGATTTGGAAGATGTAAAGCAACTAAGTCTAATATCAACACCTCCGGATGCTCTGGCATCATTTTTCGTTAAGACACTTTCTCGGTTGTGAGTATTTATTTATTTTTTATTTGACTTCTTTCCAATCCATCCACTAAAATATTTTCAGTCATCAACTTGTTTTTCCACAACAATCTATAATGCAACAATTTGGAGTGTCAGAAGCCTCTTATGGCGCATATATGATTCATCCTTGTCTCATAGAACTTCTTGCGGGGTTGGAAGACCACTTCCTTTACGAGCCGTAATTTTTTTTTTCGCTTGCTGCATTGTTAAATCCTGTTGTGAACGGCGAAAGTGCGAATCCTTTGAACAAAAAGCGGATGGTATATTTCTAGCACGCTTGAAAAGGTCGTATTGAGATCGGGCATCTAGAAATATCTGGTGGGTACGGCCACCGCGATCTACTTGGGACGGATGTTGTAAAGGCCCGTTGGGTAGTATGTATATGCTTGAGGAGATCGGCAAGAGGTATCGGAATGCATCACCAAAGTCATTTGCAAACAATCGTGTCTTTTTTGTACATATTCATGGTAAATAATATTTTGTATTTATAGAATACAAAATTGAAATTTGGCAAATGCACAACCGTGCTCGAGGAATTTTGCAATGGGAGACACACAAAGCAATTGTTTTGATCTGCTATGAAGAGCAGAAAAAACATCTTTTTGGTTTCGTGGTCTTACTCTGTAATCTAAAAGTATATTTTATTTCTTATTCAGGAAGCTTTGATCAATACAGCAAATATGATCAAACAATTACAGGATGAGGATAATGATAATGTATCCAAGTTATCGGGTAGACTTCCTCCGCATCCAGGTAAACCTGACAAGACAGCACAAGAAAGGTATGCTATACATACACCCCCCTGCCAAAAGCATCCGTCACTCCTTGAAATTTACTAGTAAAACATGAAAAAAAATTTTTTGTAAAAATCTCGATTGTACGTATTTACTATGTGAATCACAATGATTTTGATACCGATGTGAAGCTAATTGATTGCATTTTTGAAAAAAATAATGATATGTTCAGTTCCGTTATCGTTCTAAAGCAGCTTTTCGATGAAGTGATAGCTTGTATGTTACACATATGATTTTCATACATTTCATATGTGTAACATGATACCAGCCACCTCATCGAACAGCTTGCTTTAGAACGATAGCGGAACTGAACATATCACTATTTTTTTCAAAAAATGCAATCAATTAGCTTCACATCAGTATCAAAATCATTGTAAATACGTACAATCGAGATTTTACAAAAAAATTTTTTTTCATGTTTTACTAGTAAATTTCAAGGAGTGACGGATACTTTTGGCAGGGGGGGTGTATTATCTGGATACGCTATATACACTCACTGGTGGGTAATTTTTGTTGATCATATAGTAAAACATGAAAATCTAAAATTTCGAACATCTGTATTGGTCATGTTATGAAGCCTAGTTTTCGAATAAATACTGACAAATTTATACAAAATCTGCTTTTTCCTTTGCCTTCTGTTCGGCTTTGGCTTTTTCCTCCTACCTCTTTCTATCTCATTCTGTAATTTGCTGAAGTGACAACATATACAGTGGTGTGCAAAAAAAGTTCGAAAGATCGACATGCGTAACTTGCCCAATTATAACAAAAATTATATTTTATTGAATATCAAAAATGACCTCATAAAAGCAAGAAACACAATGACAGGCCACATTACATTTCTGGAAGCAAGGAATACGAAACGCTATTGAAATACAAAAGTTTGACAAAGATTCCAATTAGTACTATCCCAAGATACTGGAGATGTAAAGCATAAAGATGGTCCAATACCAAGGACCGAGTTTGCATAAAGGGAGGGTACTACCAGTCTTTTTGTTTTCGGCGCTACAGAAATATTGGAAACGCCACCTAAGCATACTAGTCGTATTGCTAAGGAGTTGCGTAGGCCAAATAATAGTCAATGCCTCAGCGCTGTAGAGAAAAATGGTGAACGAATATCATATTAAAACTTCTACTACTTATCGGCTTTAAAATGACGCATTATGCACTTTAATCGATTACTTGTTTATAAAATTTTTGTTGTTTGCTTAGTAAATAATGCCAATACATGTTCGAAAATTTAGATTTATTCCGTGATTTTGTACAACAAATTATAATCCCAATAACACGATATCTAAACAAAGTAAAGATCATACAAAGAGTGTGATTGGTAATACTTACTTAATACTCTTTTTTTTAGCCAAAAATAGTAAACAGGCATTTGTTATTATTATATATCACGTGCAACAAATAAAATGCTGACTCTCCATATATGCATATATGGAGGGTGGACTGTATATATAATCAACAAAAATTACCCCCAGTGACTGTTGCATAATTGCTAATTTATGCTGTCAAATCTGTTTAATGCCATAAAAAAATATATATATAATGCATCACATATCCCGGCCAAAAAGTGAAGTGTTCTGCAATTTTCTTACAGATTACTTCACCTTACCTATCCGGAAAACAAACGCAGTACGGGAGGAGGGAAACTTCGGAATATGATAATTGGTTAACACCCAATAAAAAAAACTTTAATTAATGGGGGCTATATTTAAAAAGCAATTTAGTTAAAGTCCTCAAAATTTGGAATTGAGATTATTGGAAGCCTTCCCAGTTCGCATAACAACATGAAATCAATATGACCGATATAATGAAGAGATCGCTCTACGGTCGAGTGACAAAAATATAAGGCTCCCTGCTCTAATAGGAAATTACTTAGGGTAAATAATTTTCGATAGACTTAAGTAAAAAATGAATTGTAAGCATTAATTACAATTCGAAGGCCTTAGCTATTGGCTAATTTCCAATACTATTAATGTTAGACATACGCTGTCTTTAATCTTCTACTTTAAGTTCGAATTATGAAATCCATTGTATAATTACCTTTTACTACTGCTCGATTTAACACTACTCTATAAATGCAGATTCTCTATAAATGTGCTGCACTTAGGGGCATTTTGTGTTATAACAATAATAGTCTTTATATAGGTAATATAGTCGTAAGTAGAAAGATTAAAAAAGAATGTACAGTCGATTGCCGATAATTCGACCCCCCCATAATTCGACCTTTCTAATAATTCGATCGCCTTGAGTAAGACCCGATTTTTTCATATGATTTTTCTTCCTTTAATTCGATCGAACTTATAAAA